CAGACACTAAGCACCCCGTAAGCAAGCTACAGCGGGCGGTTTCCGTTGGGCACACCCTAAGGGAGAGCCCGAAAGATCTATATTTCCCCCCAAGGATCAAATAATGAGAACGAGTTACAATACTTAGTACATTTCATACATCCAGAGTGCTTAGAAATTCATTATTACATTGCCAAATTCAGAGTGCGGAATATTAAACAGCGGAATGATAATAAACATCTATCGATAAAGAACAAGGATCCATCTGTGCCCACCAAAAGAATCTTTCACACAACGGCTACGTCTCAAGCAGTACCCGCAACAGGGGTAAATAAACCCTGAGTACACAATATACTCGCAAGACTTATCCGACTAGTGAGAATAATTTCCTGACTTCAAGGAATATGATAAGCTTATGGTTTGCTAGTTTCCTTTTTTAGAAAGCAATACTAATAGTGAGTCCTTATTTATGTTATTATTAGCAGCCATGATTAATTTATTCTCTAGCCATTCTATGTAAGCACATGTACTACTTTCAAGCAAGACTTGAGCAATCAGTTCTCTTTCATCTTTCAGTTCTTACTATGGTGCTAGACCCCAAATAAGTCGTGTCGAATTGTCCGATGATTCGTGAATCAATGCCCCCAGCTACGTACCCCGAAAACACATGCCTCGCTTGTACCCCAGGCACGAGCAGGACCAACCCATCACCCTCCTATCATGGGGTCTAGGTCCCCGTCCAAACTTGGACTTCAAGCCCCCGCTCCTGAGTCCCAGACTCAGTGCGGTGCAAGGACCTCCACCATCCCCGCCTCTAATCAGTCGATCTGGAAAGAGTCAGAACCCACGACAAGAGAGCAACAAGTCTTTCATATGCCCATATCCAAGTATGTGCTCGGGATAATAAATATGTGACTTGCCTAGAGACTTATGCAGCGGCTGGTCCTTAACCGACACAGACAGGGAAAAAGTGTAACCAAGCTATGCCCTATTGGCCGCAGGACACAACCTCTTACACCCACCAATACCCAAATCATATCCCTGCCCGGTCACTATTTTTTCTTTCCACCATTTTATCATGAGTGATCATAATTATCACCTATTGTGAGTAACGGCAGGTTACTCACGCTACTGATACCCTAAGCATAACAGCTACTCGACCTATACTAGTAGGACTCATAGGTGAGTATATCTATGCATGTAGTTTTCATAAAATAACTGTAACGTAAATGCACATCATATATATATATATATATTCAGTAATCATTCAAAAATAGGGGTTATGCACCGGGGCTTGCCTTAGGCGTGGGTGGGTCAACAAAGTTAGCATCGAACGGCTCCGGGGCTACCTCCTGTATGAGAATCTCCTCCTCGTACTCCTCAATGACCTCCTCGTAGTCCTGTTCGTCCACAGGCTTGAACTCTACCAACTCATGATCTACATGCATGAAATAATGATGCAACACTTAGTAATATGGCAACAACAACTCTTAAAATCAAAATACCTCCATCAAGCTATTAAGCTAGTCCTACCGACTAAGGTGCTAAGTTACCTATTATTACCACTAACAAGTATGAAGCATGACATATTATCTTAGCAACTAAAGATATTCTTACTCTTAATACCGATTTACTCTATATATGATTAAACAAGGGTACTAACTACTCTATTTATCAATCTACTCTAGGGCTATAAAAATTACAGTGAGTACATAATAATATAATGATTCTACTGTAAAAATTTTATAGCTAAAGCTATCATTAATTTGCCACAAAAAAGCCTACAAATATTAAGCTAAATAATACGAAGCTTTCTAAATTGAATTTATGAACCTATCATTATCACAGCTAACTGTAAATTAACTACAATAGATAGATAGCATTTTTGTGAACCTAACAAGTTTGGTTTCACTATTTTTAGACATCTATAGAATTTACTATTATTTTTTAAAGTTCAGCTCACAACTAAATTGAATAAACATTCATAACTTCACTGGAAATTGAAAAAACGTATTCCACCGCGTGGCCCAAAGCGCGAGTGGCTCGGCCCACTCTGGCCCACGTAGGCGCGGCCCTAGTTTGCTCGACGACGGCCCACGATGGGGAGGACCCACGTGCGCCGGTCATCTACGAAAACACCCTCGGCCTACCCGGTAATCACACGAGCACTAAGAGCAATATTTCGCCAGTCTGCTATCTTACAGCTACGCCCCTCCCCCTTTACATCTTTACCACGGCCATACCCTCGGGCCCTCCTGCGCGCGCACCGGCGCGGCGGCTCTGGCACCGGGTGGTTACGTCGGCCAGGCCAGCCCTTCCCCACCCTATCTACGGAACCGATACCTGCCTAGGCGTGAACGCGAATCACTGGGCGAAGAAAGCACGAGCCGGGATGCCGTAGTAAAGCCAGACCACGACGGCGGAGCTCCTGCACTGAAAACGATGATGTTCCGGTGAGCTACAACAACGCCGGACAAATTAGGGTAGCTAGTGAGCTCAAAGAACTCACCACGAACACACACAAGGTGGTGGTTCGACCAGAGGTGGCCCGAGTCGAGCTGGCTGTGTGCGCACGGACAGTGCGGTGGCGCACGGTGGTGGCAAGGCTATGTCAGGAGTGGCTAGGCGGTGGTAGCGACTTGGCAAGGGTGCGCAGGGTGATGAGTAGGTGGAGGTGAAGTTGAGGGTGCAACGAATTGACGTGAGCAGCACTGGATTGGGGGCTTGCCGTCGACGCATATCGACACGTTCTTATTGACCCAGCGGGAAGGAAGCTCCAAATTGGAGCATGGCACGGCGAGTCTCACTGCAAGCTGGGGTCGGGTGGTTGGCTGACTACGCCACGAAGCCTTAGACGGGGTTAACTGGATTGAGGTGGCTCCACCATGGCGAATTGAAGGCGCGGGTCCGGCGACCATGGCGATAGAGGACCAGGGGAAGGCAGGCAAGGCTTGGCTCGACGTTGCCGTGGCGGGACGTGGCTGTCAATCGGTGCACAAACGCGCACGGGTTACAGGGCGATGGGGAAACGGCCAACGCGCTCAGTACGGTGGGCTGCACGGCCATAAATTGCAAACCGACGACGGCGGCTCGGCCCTGCTCCGCAGTGGCATGGCGCCAGTCAGCACAGCGTCGCATCGAGCACGATGTGATGGCAAGGCAGGCGGCAAGCCCACGCGCGGCAAGGCGACGTGCGGGCAGAGCCAAGTGTGCCCACGCGTGCACGGTGCAGCACAGGCGAGCGCGAGGCTACAGAGCGGCCAGGCGGACGCGACGACGGTGGCAGAGCGCACACGGGCGACTTCGCACAAGCGGCCGTGGCTAGCAACAGCGCGGTGACACGACGCACGGAGTCAGCGACACGGCGAAGCGGCGGTAGTGGACTAGCCAGGGCAGCGAGCCCTCGACGACGGTGGTGGTGGCCGAGCGGCTAGGTCGCCGGGCGCAGCATGCGCGTGCGTGAATCGCGTGTCCGGGGCGTGGCAACGACGGTGCGGTGGACAGTGACCAGCAACGCGGCGCCAGGGGCAGGACCGGTTAGCGCGGTGACACGCGTGCGGGCGTGCGAGCGCATGCGCGTCAGTGGCTGGCACAGCAGCGCCGAATGCCGAACACGGTGACCACGCCCAGACGCAGAAGCTGGCTGAGAACGTGCCTTGCACGATTTTTAAAGCGTCCCAATCATCCAACTCAGTGATCCAGTTGCTACACCGCCTATTTAACACTCAAGATGGTATGTCAAGCTACTAGAACACATCCTAAGATCATACCACTACTTAGCCCGATTCTTCTACAAAAACTGCCGAACTTAGCTTCGTCAAAACGTTTTCTAACTTAAGAATTTGACTAAGTCTCGCTCGGATTTGCGTCAACTTCGATTTCCAAGCTACCAACCAAGCTAGCTAGTGACTCCCGTTCTCGACCGCAAGTATTTCACCGTCACCTACGAAGTTTGTACTACAAACTTTAAAGTCCCTAATGTGCGTTCTATAGTATTCTTGCTCAATAAAAATTAGTTTAGAACCCTAAGTGATAAAACGCGGCATGGAATGTAACTTTCGTTTCGCGTTTCCGATGAACGTTTCGAGTCACATGAATTTATTTACACACTATAATTCATACACTCACACATAAATATGATGCTCATGCAGTGTTTTAGCAAAAGACTGTACAGTGTAACACCGAGGGTGTTACAACGCGCAGACGCCGCAGAGCGAGCGAGTGATGCGGATTGGGGCTGCGCGGGCATGGTCGGTTCCACAAGCTGGCGACTCAGGCGGGGTCGTCTTTCCGGACGGACGAGCGAACAGGAGCATTACCGAATAAAATGGAAACCAGACCAAACATGCTGAGGGAAATATATGTAGCAAAATGTGTTTGTGTGTTGTAACGAAACTCAATACGTATACGAATTGGATCGCTAAATGCGAGTTGTTCTAATTCGTATGACCGGGAATCAGTTTGGATCACATACAATATACAATATACGTAGGACACGAATATAGAGGTATAGATATAGATATAGATATATAGATACGTATATGTATATATTAGAGTTCTATTCAAGTTATTTATGATTGGAGATCTATTAGAATTAAGATTAAGATTCCTAATTATCTCTATCATATAAAATAGGAGGGTCTAGACTAATAGAGAGACTTCCACGTTCAGGAAGTTAGCCAAGGGAGGTGGACGCGATTATATTGGATTTGCTACCTCCACTGCGAGCGTAGCAGATGGGCCGGTAACTGGTTTAGGGCCCAGGGGGCTTTCAGATAGCAAGCGCTCTTTTGACTGGGCTCCTGAGGCCGAAGACCCACCTGTCCCGCCAGGTCGCCGCCGCCGCCAACTACACACCAACCCGCCGGCCGGCCTCGCCCAAGTCGCCGGCCCGCCTCCCGCCACGCTCCCACCCTCCTGCCCCCGCGCGCCACGACCAGCCGCCTGCAGCAGCAGCGATTCCGCCCCCATCCCTCCTGCTCCTCCACTGCCGCGCCCCGCTTCAGCCTCGCCCCTTCAGGATGAACTCCCGGGCAGCTCCGAGCAGGGTCGTCGTCTGCTCCGTCGCGTCCGCCGAGGGGTTCATCTCCGCAGCACCGATCCTCCTTCCCGAGGGCCCTTGGAAGCAGGTGACTGGCGAAATAGCAAGGCTCCCAGGCGCGGGTATCGATGGGAGGGCTTTGGTTGGGCTTAAGACTGTGCTTGTTGGTGTGAAATGCAGGTAGAAGGCGGCGTTACTGACGCGAAGGGGTTCAAGGCGGCGGGCATCTATGGTGGGTTGCGTGCCAAGGGCGAGAAACCTGACTTGGCACTGGTCGCCTGCGACGTCGACGCAACTGTAGCAGGTATGAGTGACTCTTATGAGCTTCTATGGTCACTGGCATGTGGCATGCCTCAGGTAGCAAGATGTTATTGTAATCTCTGAATGCCACTTTGGCACGCTAGGTGTCTAGTCTATTCTCATTTGGATTTGGATGAACTGAACAGCTAGATATGCTATTGTTGATAATGTTGCAGGGCGTATTGTCTTCTGAATTTACTTGCTTTGCTTTATACGATTGGTAATATATTAGTTAGGCTCAGTTCTCAATTCTCATGCTGAACTCCTTTCAGGAACATTTACAACAAACGTTGTTGCCGCTGCACCTGTTTTGTATTGCAAGCATGTCCTTAGTACATCGAAAACAGTAAGCTAATCCTGCCTCTCATCTGCCTTCAAACTGAAGGACTTTGCTGATCAATTTGGGCTAATCACTCGTTAATTTATTGTCCTTTTGCAACACTTTGTTGCATAGGGTCGTGCTGTGTTAATAATGCTGGACAAGCAAATGCTGCAACTGTAAGTGTTTATAAGTACCATATCTGTCATACTCGTCAGTAGCAGACTAGCAGTTATGAACTGTATATCGGAACTCAGTGACTGATATTGAGCTATTGTCTCAAATGATTGTCTGTCAGGGTGATCTTGGCTATCAGGATGCAGTGGATAGTGCAGATGCTGTTGCCAAGGTAGGGACCTGCCCTTTAGGGGCCTGTATGGTTTCCTTCTCAGGTAGCCTGCATCGCATCTAGCCAGCCAGGCCTCCTCTGGCTAGGTTGTGGCCATGCAGACAGCAGGTCATTGTTGTTTGGTTGCCTTGATCTGCAGCGCCAGGATGCATAGAGCAGCTGTTTGGTTGCCTTGATCTCCGCTCGCACCTGCATCGTCACGCGCCACGCTCACGCTGCCCGTGTGAGCCAGGCCGCCTGGAAACAGATTCCCGCGAGCCAGGCTGTGGGGCGCCGGCTGCACGCGCCGGGCCAGGCCCGGGAAGGATTGCAGGCAACTAAATGGCTTGAGCATGCATCCCAGGAGCTAGGCCAGGCTATATCCAGACAACCAAACAGGCCCTAGGTGTTTGTTCGCAAGTAAAGTCATTTTACTGCTATGCTAACTCCTAACCACTGCTGCAGCTTCTCAATGTGAGCACATATAACATACTGATTCAGTCTACTGGTGTCATTGGTCAAAGGATAAAGAAGGTACACTATGATACGCCCAATATGACTGGGCTATTTGTTTCACATTAGCCCACTGATGCTAGTATGATATAGTAGAGTGCCTATCTGATATCTGGGCTTTGGCGTTGTAGGAGGCACTTTTAAATTCGCTACCTAGACTTGTGGGCTCGCTGTCTTCTCCAGTTCAGGGGTAGTATCATGAGTAGCATTATATCTCAAGCCTTCAAATTGTAAAATCATCATGATAATCATTGATATAATTTTAATGGTACTTATTGTCGGTCACCTAATATACCTTCTTCAATAGTGCGAATTCTGCTGCTGTGGCCATTACAACTACAGACCTTGTTAGCAAGAGCATTGCTGTCCAGACTGAGGTTTGAGTCTCTTGGTTTACTTGTGGTGTTCTCCCCTTGGATTTTATTGTCATCAATTCTTGTTCAAAACTAGATTGGAGGAGTGGCTATCAGAATAGGTGGAATGGCTAAAGGTTCTGGAATGATCACCCAAATATGGCAACAATGCTTGGTGTATGTTCCCACCCTCTGTTTCTCCCTCCCTCTATTGAGGCATGTAGCAAAGATTGATGGCCATTTTTTCTATTACAGGTTTTAACCACAGATGCTCAAGTCAGCAGTGATGTCTGGAGAGAAATGGTCCGGACATCAGTGAGTAGAAGTTTCAACCAAATTACAGTGAGTCTCCGCTCTTGTATATTGTATTGATCACGTGTAAGCAATCACACAACATTACAGTGAGTCTCCGCTCTTGTATATTGTATTGATCACGTGTAAGCAATCACACAACATTATGTCAAATGGGAAAGAAAAACTCGAGTGAAGGACAGATAGGAAAGAATTTCAGTTTCGGTGTCAAATAAGAAAGCAGCATTATTTCTGGTGTCAAATAGGAAATTTTCTCCATTTTGTACCAGGCTATTTGGTGCTCCATCTCAACTACCTTACCAAATTCTTACTAAAAAAAGCTACCTTACAAAATTGCTATCTTGTTATTATGAATTATGTCAATTGTGTTATTGACGGGGAGTGGAGGAGGAAATGGGAAGGCATGGGGCTGTGATCTGAGCTACAAATATGTTGAAATAAATGCTGAATATACGACGTGAGAATTATATTTGCCATGAAGGAAAAAATTGTCTTCTTGGAATGATGAATGGGTGCAACTGCCATCAGGAGAATGCAGTTTCTTATTGCAATGGCAGCCTTGCCTTAAAAAGATGTTGCGGATGTATTATTTCCCATGAGATCAATCAGACAAATGTTTTCTAAGTGTAATAATGTGATGAATAACTGTGGGCACAGTAACAACACTGACGCCACCTTGTTCGGTTCTGAATTTCTGATGACGGGAAAGCATTGGTCTGACAAACAAATTTTTGAAATTGGTATACAAAGCTTATTGCTGGTCCTGTGTGTCAAACTGAAGCCCCACTTTTATTTGTCAGTTGGACTGAAATGGTGTCAATTTCACCATCGAGATCCCTAAATCAATTGGATCCCCTGTGCAACTTTGTCAATTGGATTCCTTGATGGTTTTCCAGTTGCAGTTCTCTTGTTGTAACATTTTAGCCTTACAAACAGAACGTGATGTTAATGTAGTTGGCAACTAGTTTGTGACGTGGAATGTCAGAAATAATATTGATACGATGTTGTAGGTTTATTATTTTATTTGAACTTATGTGTACTACATTGCTTTATATGAATCTCAGCAAGTCATATTTGATTTGGAAAAGCCAACATTTCTAGGTTTATGCATAGTTAGTTATATTTTGGGAGAAGAAAGTGTGCTGTTATTAAAATTGTCTCATGGTGACTAGGTCTGGACACTCAAAATGCATCTTAGACTTGTTTGGTGTGCTGAAGATACAAATCTCCCTGATTAGGATAAACTTGCCTATGTGGCTTCCAACATGGTGTCTGACACGTATGGAACACAATAGCGGCAATGATGATGAAGAGCATGGAGACGTCTCCGGCTCCACTCTGGATTCTCTACTACCTTATGATTACTCATTGATTAAAGAGATTTTCGTCTCTAGTTGTTCATTTGACAAGTTTTAGGACCTATATATGGGCATCTTAGGAGTACAAGGACTTAAAGCAGTGTGTTGTAAAACCAATGCTTGGATAGGAGAAAGAACATTCAAGTATTGGTTTTTCCATTGCAGCCTCCGATGCGTAGGGCTTGTTTGGTTGAGGACTGGCTGGAGCTGCTTGGTCCAGGCATCACTCCCAACTCCCAAGCTTTAAATTTTTCACGCCTGAGGTTGAGATGGATGCCTGGCCATAGCTACCTCGCTCAGGATCCCAACCAAACACACCCTTAGTTTTCAATATATTAAATATCTACTAAACACGCATGGTTGTTTTGCATAAAACTTGCACAAATGTTACAACTCCCCCACACTTCTTATATCATGAACCAAACTTGGTGTGGTACTTATTTAGGTGTTCCTTGACAGGTTCACAAAGCCCCTGCACAAACAGGTACAATCAAGTGGACACAAGTGGGAGCACAAAAAGATGATGGAAATGCCAATGTGTGGCAAACCAAATCAAGGACGCGATGATTTGTTCCTCGAAGCTCAAATCCTCCACTTAGATCTTCGTCTCCATTGAGGCGGCCTTGAGTGAACGCCAGAGGTCAAGAGTGGTTCGACCAACTTAAGTCCGGTTGTCACTAGAGGAGGACTACTATAGTTTAGGCTCCCACGATCAGAGTGGTTCGACCAACTTAAGTTGACTAACTCTGGTAGTCCTTAAAGATGCATCAGACCTCCGCTTAGAACTCACTCTTTGGAAGGATTTACTAACTACTTTTCTTTAGTGTTTATGAGTTTGTTATTTTACTAACTAGTTTTCAGCCCTCCGCCTATAAAGATTTCTCTACAAACTCATAAACACTAAAGAAAAGTAGTTAGTAAAATAACAAAGCCTAATAGCCACTACTTTGCCTAGCTCTAGTTCAACCAAAGCAAGCCCCTACAAAATTCTAGTGGCAACTAAATTCTACTACCAGAGCACACAACTGAAAGGGATCGTGACGCCTAAGAGAGGGGAATTAGGCAACTTAAAACTCTAACTCTAAACTATGGTCTCTTTTTCTACCCTTAGCAAAACCTATACAAAAGATAAAATATCTAAATGTGCAACTACGGTTTTGCTAGTACGTTGCTATCTCTACTGCAAAAATGAGTTATGCAGCCTAGGTTCCAAACCTATCAACTAGCCTATCATCAAGCTAGGAAAGTAAAGCACAAACCAAGATTGCAATGTAAATGCGGAAGCTAAAGAGTAAGGTAGAGATATGCAAACTCCCGTCGATGACTCCGGTATTTTTACCGAAGTATCAAGAAGCGCGCAAACTTCCCCCTAGTCCTCGTTGGAGCCCCTCGCAAGGGCTAAGCTCCCGGTCGGGTAACTCCGTGGATAGCCTCGGGCCTTCCCCACGCGCAAGTGGGTCTCTCGCGTGCCTTCCGGCAAGCCTCTCCTGGATGCTCCCCGCCGTCTTCACTATCAAACTTCTGGCTGAAAGCTCTAGTTTGGTTTTGGTGAATTGATGAAACCCTAAGTGCTAACCTAGTTTATCAAGTGATCATGAGATAGGTAGCACACTCCAAGTGGTGAAGCAAATGAAGATCATAACATGATGATGGTGATGCCATGGTGATGATCAAGTGCTCGGACTTGGAAAGAAGAAAGAGAAAAACAAAAGGCTCAAGGCAAAGGTATAAATAGTAGGAGCCATTTTGTGTTAGTGATCAAGACACTTAGTGAGTATGATCACATTTAGGATTGATAGCCGTACTATTAAGAGGGGTGAAACTCGTATTGAAATACGGTTATCAAAGTGCCACTAGATGCTCTAACTCATTGCATATGCATTTAGGATCTAGTGAGTGCTAACACCCTTGAAAATGTTTGTGAAAATATGCTAACACATGTGCACAAGGTGATACACTTGGTGGTTGGCACATTTGATCAAGGGTGGTGAAGTTTAGGTGCAAGGGTAAGAAACTCCACCGGTGCCCTAGACAGAAAAGACGGAGGTCTCTGTAAGTGACCGGACGCTGGTCTCTGTTGGACCGGCGCGTCCAGTCAGTGGCAGCAGAGGGCGTGCATTTTGGTCTCATGACCGGGGCCTTGCTAACAGACGACAAACGACCGGACGCCAGTAAAGTGCGTCCGGTCAAGATCGACGATATCTTGACGTAGGCGTCTGAGAGGAGATTGTTAATGTGACCGGACGCTGGCTGTGTCCGGTCAAGCATGACCGGACGCGTCCGATCGGAAAAAATCGCATTTGGAACCTTACTGGAAACGACCGGACGCTGAAGTCCAGCGTCCGGTCACTTTCTAACTGATGCGTCCGGTCAGCAGACGACCGTTGAAATCTGACGAACTGTATTTGAAGCCGGGGACACGTGGCGTGTATCACGTGACCGGACGCTAAGGGCCAGCGTCCGGTCGATCGGACCAGAGCGTCCGATCACCCCGCGCTGTACCCAGTGAAGGGGTACAACGACTCTATTTCATGGGTGCTTCTATTTAAGCCCCATGGCCGGCTCAAGCTCACTCTCTTGGCCATTTGCGTTGACATAGCAATCTTGTGAGCTTAGCCAAAGCCCTCCCACTCATTTCCATCATAGATTAAACATCTTTGTGAGATTGGAAGATAATCCAAGTGCGTTGCTTGAGTGTTTGCATCTAGAGGCACTTGGTGTTCCTGTTTCGCTGTGGATTTTGCTTGTTACTCTTGGTGGTTGCCGCCACCTAGACAGCTTGGAGCAGCAAGGATCGTTGAGGGGAGGGTGGTGATTGTCTCCGGCTCCGATCGTGGTGATTGTGAGGGGTTCTTGACCTTTTCCCGATGAAGCGCCAAAAGGTACTCTAGTGGATTGCTCGTGGCTTGTGTGATCCTCATCTTGTGTTGGTTGTGCGGCACTTTATTGAGGGTTTGGCGTGTGAAGTCAATTAGCGCGTGAACCTCCAAGTGAGTGGTAAAAATCTTATGTTCATCATTTGATTCCGAGATGATTGGTCTTCATTGTTATTCATCTTTGTGATTGGTTGGCTCCTTCATCTACACGGCGGTATAACTTTCTTGATCACTCTCTTTACATTACCGCAAACTAGTTGTCAAGCTCTTTAGTGTAGTTAGTTGTGAGAGCTTGCTTGCTTGGTTGGTGTGGCTCTTTAGTTAGCCTTTGAGAGCACACTAACATAGAGTAGTGTCATAGCTATTGTGTGAATAGATTCTACCTAAACTAGAATTGTGGTAGGCGGCTTGCATTTTAAGTAGGCTAGCGCAACACTTGCTTCGCCTCATAGTTGTCTAACCATTTTGTTAAGTGTTGTTGTAGAAATTTTATTAGGCTATTCACCCCCCCTCTAGCCATTAGGACCTTTCAAGTGATATCAGAGCCGAGGTCACCATTATTTGAGGCTTAACAACCTTCGGTGTTAAAATGACTCAAATCAACAACACCAAGAAGCCACCCCAATTTGATGGCTCAAATTATCCCTATTGAAAGGCTAAGATGACAACATATATCAAGTCAATCAATAGGAAGATTTAGAAGGTGGTAGAAACAAAAATTGAGATAGAAGATGAAGAGGCTCCCACCGCCGTCGAAGAATTGCTACTCCAAAACAATGACATTGCTCTTAGTGCCATCCATGATGCTTTGGATGAAAGAACATTTGAGCAAATCAAGAACATTGAGAGAGCTCATGAGGCATGGAAGAAATTGGAAGAATCATTTGAGGGCACCAAGGCAATCAAGGGTGCAAAGGCATACATTCTCAAGGATAATTTGCTAGTTTCAAGATGAAGGAAGATGAGAGTGTGCCGAACATGTTCCATCGGAGGGAAGTGATTGTAAATGATCTCAAGGCACTTGGTGAGAAGATAGAGGATAAGGAATTCTCAAATAAGTTCTTGAGATGCTTACCCTCAAGATTGGGTACATTGGTCACTATTCTAGTGAGGTCCGGTTTGGATACAATGACACCAAATCAAATCTTGGGAGATATCATGACCAATGATGCTTATAGAGATGATGATGAGAAGGAAGAAAAGAGGGAGAAGAAAGATGAGAAGAAGGATGATAAGAAGAAGAGCGTGGCATTCAAAGCCACATCATCCAAGGGAAAAGCCAAGCAAGAAACATCAAGTGAAGATGATGATTGATGGGATGATGATGACGATGAGAAGATGACTCTCTTTGTCAAGAGATTTGGCAAGTTCATGGTGAAGAAGGGCTACCGTGCAAGAAGAAAGAAGTCTTCATCCAAGAACAAATGTGAGTCAAGAAGGTGCTTCAAGTGTGGAAGCAAAGATCATCTTGTTGCCCAATGTCCATACAATAGCGATAATGATAATGACAACAAGAAGAACAAGAAGAAGGAGAAGAAGGAGAAGAAGGAGAAGAAGGACAAGATGGGATACAAGAAGAAGGGTGGTTCATATGTAGTCACTTGGGATAGTGATGCCTCCTCAAGTGATGATGACGATAGTGATGATGACAAGACCACCAAGAAGAAGGTGTTTGCAAGCATTGCAATCAATGAGAAGCCTTCTCTCTTCGAATCTCCATCATGCTTCATGGCTAAGGCCACTAAGGTACAATCTTGTGATGATGAAAGTGATGAAGAACATGATGATGAAAATGAACATGAAAATGAAAATGATAGTGATAGTGATAATGATGAACCTACTAAGAATGAATTATTTGACATGCTAGAAGATGCTAGAGAACACTTTGACATCAAGAGAAGGGAATGCAAAAGTTTGTGTAAGGAAATAAAAGCCCTTAAGCAAGCTTTTGATGAGCTCAATGCATCTCATGAGAGGCTAGAGGATGCCCATGAGAAGCTCGGCAAGGCTCATAAGAAGCTCGAAAAAGCTCATTCCTCTTTGCTTGATGAGCAAACTAAAAAGAAGCATGTTGAAACTTGCAATGTAGGTTTAACTTGTGATATAATTGATGAATCATCATCTATGCCTATCATTGTTGCTCCTACTAACCCTTCTTATAGTACTTCCACATCCACCTCAT